GGTGAAACGTCAGGAGAAATGCCTCTAGAACATGGCCATATAGCCCGAAAAAACCCACAAGAACTGAACATAAAAATGTTTGTTTTGCCTATACCAAGTATGTCAGCTTCATTGAGAGGCATATCACTGGCTGTCATCCCTTTGGCCAAATTGAATAAAATATATGGGTGGCTTCTGCTTCAACTGGTGAGATTTCTTTGATTGGAGTACATTGAGTTTTAGCTTTAAGTTTTGCCAGCCATGGCCTAGCCCCAGGTCTCACTATTTGCTTGTTGGGTTTCTGTATCCACATGCTGGGTCTTGCTATCTGCGGTCCAGATCTCACTATCCGTAACTACTTTAAATTGCTTGATTTCAAATAATGGAAGAAAGGCAGGCAGGTCCTGAGGTCCTGGGATGCACCCTTTGGTGCCCATAGCATCATGGCATAGAGCTCTCTTTCCTGGATCTGACAGGAGCAGTTACCCCACAGCCACCCCCTTTCCAAGTCCTCGCTGCACACAGAATCTCAGGGAGCTCTTGGACCTCGAGGAAGAGGAGGGAAGGAGCATGGTGGCACTGTGGTGCCCTTGGAACAGGAGGATGAGGTGGAGGAATGAGGAAGAAGAGGGAAGTGCAGCACCCCTCAGTATGCCTCACAGAGCCCCAAGAGCTGAGTGCATATGTGTGTTTTGAATTATATTTTCCTGCTTCTTGGCAGGGGGTTGGACTGGATGGCCCACGAGGTCTCTTCCAACTCAATGAATCTATGATTCTATGATGATATGTCTTGGGAGACTTATACAGTAAGCCGCTATTAAAAATAGCTGCTCCACTTTGCTCCAAGTGCCCAAAACAGTGGAGTACACAGCTTATATGCTGTTTGTTGTTCATTCATTCAGTCATTTCTGACTCTTCGTAACCTCATGGACCAGCCCACGCCAGAGCTCCCTGTCGGTTATCACCATACCCATCTCTTTCAAGGTCAATCCAGTCACTTCAAGGATCCCATCCTCCATCTTGCCCTTGGTCGGCCCTTCTTCTTTTTTCCTTCCATTTTCCCCAGCATCATTGTCTTCTCTAAGCTTTCCTTTCTCATGATGTGACTAAAGTACTTCAGCTTTGCCTCTACTATCCTTTCCTCCAATGTGCAGTCGGGCTTTATTTCCTGAAGTATGGACTGGTTGGATCTTCTCATGGTCCAAGGCACTCTCAGAACTTTCCTCCAGCACCACAGTTCAAAAGCATATATCTTCCTTCGTTCAGTCTTCCCTATGGTCCAGCTCACATCCATAGGTGACTATGGGGAATACCATTGCTTTAACTATGCGGATCTTCGTTGCCAGTGTGATGTCTCTACTCTTCACTATTTTATCGAGATTGGACATTGCTCTCCTCCCAAGAAGTAAGCGTCTTCTGATTTCCTGGCTGCAGTAATCTTTGCACCTAGAAATACAAAGTCTGTCACGGCCTCTACGTTTTCTCCCTCTATTTCCCAGTTGTCAATCATTCCTGTTGCCATAATCTTGGTTTTTTATGTTTAGCTACAATCCAGCTTTTGCGCTTTCTTCTTTCACCTTGATTAGAAGGTTTCTCAGCTCCTCCTTGCTTTCGGCCATCATAGTGGTATCATCTGCACATCTAAGGTTGTTAATGTTTCTTCCAGCAATTTTCACCCCAGCTTTGCATTCCTCAAGCCCCGCACATCGCATGATGTGTTCTGCATACAAATTGAATAGGTTGGGTGAGAGTATACAACCCTGCCGTACGCCTTTCCCAATCTTGAACCAGTCTGTTGTTCTGTGGTCAGTTCCGTGGTCAGTTCTTACTGTTGTTACGCTCCTATTAAAAGTGACCACCAATACTCCTATCCACCAGAAGTGCCACATCATTTAGGATTCCCCATGTTGCAAAAAAAAAATTGAGGGTGAGGTAGGTTAGAAGGAAGACAGGATGCTTTTTTGCTCTCGTTTTCTTCCCTTTTTAAGTTATATTTTTATGCTTTTTCTTCATTTATAATCCATTCACTAACTGTATTTGTACAGAATGTAGACATTTTAAAGACCAACAATGCAATTTACACCTTCTGTTACATTGCAATCCTTCAAATAATCCAATCCTGTCCTTCCCTGTTCCTTTTCTGAAGCATGCATTTTTAAAAGGAGAGTTAAACATTTCTGTGTTATATACCCCTAGGTTTTACCCTCAATTTATCCACAGCTCACTGTAAAATCCATTATTTTGGTACCCAAACCTACTCTTGACTTATACAAAAGGTCACCTTGTACACACACACACACAATAATACTGACAAAAGCCTAGCAATGTACTGAATGTTTTGTAAGGCAGTATCAATTAAATAACAGGGCATAATACCAGTTGTTAGTTCTCACTTAGAATGGGCCCACTGGATTAATGGAATTCACATCTAATGAGTATTCAAGTTTCCCTATTTAAGTAGGATTTGGCTTAGCTTTCCAGTACATATATAAAGCTTACCTTGAATTTTTAATTTGACCTTTCCTACAGCAGTGCCTGCTGGGTTCTGAGCAACACATATGTATGTTCCGGCATCTTCAGCAGCAGCGTTTGCAATTTGCAGACTACCGCTAGGAAGAACTGTGTATCTGTTTCCTAGAACATATGCACATCATATATTACCTAAGACACAAGTGTAGTAAACAAAGTAAGCCTTATTAAAAATGAGACAAATTTCACAAGGAAAGGTTGAAGGAACTGTTAAGGTGCAGGAAAGAGGATTTTGTTGATGTTATTCAGCTATTTAAAAAGATAAGTGTGATGAAGCATTTTTTTAACTGTAAGTTAAGCGTGGTTATTAGGCCTGTTTGATCAAGAAAAAATTTGTTTCTAAAATCGATTTGTAATTGGGGTGTTTTTTTGTTTCGATATTTAAAATAATTACAAAACTTCCCCAAAAAAAGTTTTGGTATTTAAGAAATTTTGTAAATATTAACGAATTTTTAGAATATTTTGGTATTTCTTAAGAATAATATTAAAATAATATTAAAAAATATTTTAAAATGGAAAATTAACCAAAAAATGGCCAAATGTGGACCAAACACAGGCAGGATACAGCAAATGAGAGCACACACCAACAGAAGAGTCTTTTCTTTTTTAGAATATTTTTTAAGAATAATATTAAAAATAATATTAAAAAATAATATTAAAAATAATATTAAAAAATATTTAAAATGGAAAATTAACCAAAAAATGGCCCAAATGTGGACCAAACACAGGCAGGAGACAGCAAATGAGAGCACACACCAACAGAAGAGTCTTTTCTTTTTTAGAATATTTTTTAAGAATAATATTAAAATAATATTTAAAAATAATATTAAAATAATATTAAAAAATATTTTAAAATGGAAAATTAACCAAAAAATGGCCCAAATGTGGACCAAACACAGGCAGGAGACAGCAAATGAGAGACACACACCAACAGAAGAGTCTTTTCTTTTTTAGAATATTTTTTAAGAATAATATTAAAATAATATTAAAAAATAATATTAAAATAATATTAAAAAATATTTTAAAATGGAAAATTAACCAAAAAAAATGGCCCAAATGTGGACCAAACACAGGCAGGACACAGCAAATGAGAGCACACACCAACAGAAGAGTCTTTTCTTTTTTAGAATATTTTTTAAGAATAATATTAAAAAATATTAAAAAATAATATTAAAAATAATATTAAAAAATAATATTAAAAAATAATATTAAAATATTTTAAAATGGAAAATTAACCAAAAAATGGCCCAAATGTGGACCAAACACAGGCAAGAGACAGCAAATGAAGCAAGCAGCACTCACAGCAGCAAGGAATGAATCCAATCCCAGTTGCTAGCAGCCATTGCCAAGCCAACCCAATGCAAACTCCTTCGCCCTCTGCAGCAAGCTACGGGCCGCGCGGAGCCGCTTTGAAAGGGCTCGCCGGCCAATCAAAAACAGACAGCCACGGACCCATGGTGCACTGCTTGGGAGCGCCGGATTGGCTCCCATGCACCAGCACTCCAGCAGCCTCCACCCCATTAACGAAACGAGCGGAGGCTCGTTAAAACTATGGGGGTTGCTGGTTCGATATTTAAAAACCCTTCCGGGTTTGGAAATATGTTTTAATATCGCTTCGGAAATGCCAAAAATAACGAATTAATAACGAATTAACGAATTAACGAACGAAACCGCACAGGCCTAGTTAGTACCTTCATTGTGATGAAGCATTGATTTTTAACTGTAAGTTAAGCATAGTTATGTATATGTGTCTCTACAGTTATATATATATATATATATATATATGCTTCGATGGTTGAATATTATTATATGTATGTGTTCAGGAGGTAAAAGACAGTTATGGATGTACATAAAGGGTTAACCATTTAGAAATGGCAGAACTAGGGGGATGGGACCAAGCTCAGCACTCTGAGTTAGGTTGCCATGGAGAAAGGGATGGAGCAAACTGCATTTACCAAGAAGCAGACATTTTGAGGCTTCAGTCCTTTGGTCACTGAGCCAAAGGGAAGGTGGTTCAAATGTGTGGTGAACCAAACTAAGGGAAAGCTTTTAGTCTGAGTGATTTAAATAAGTCAAAGGGACTTATTTAGGTTTGTAGTTTAGCTGTGTGCTAATAGGAGAAGAAATCCCACTGGGAATCTTTACTTCAGCAGGAAGCTGAAGGGAGACAAGGGCATTAGCTGACCTTAGTTAATCTGTCAAATAAGGAAACATATTTAGAAATGTAACAACTAAAGAACTAGTTGGTGAAGTAAAAGACATCCTAAAGTTATATTAAGATTTGTTGAAACTGTAACTCGTGAAGCTTTATACCTCAGGAGAAGAGAACTCTGAAACCATTAAGACCCTTCCATACTCCAAATAAACTTGTTCCTGTTTTAGTAACTCAAGCCTTAGTGTACTAATTCAAAAGAAAAAAACTCGCTACACACCAAAAGAAACACTACAGAATGGTAGCAATTAATCTATTTGAAAATAGAGGAATCCATTAATAAACTGAATAGGAAACCTTTACAAATTGGTGGCAGCATAGCCTAGTACCTCACAGATGGTGGCAGCATACTAGATTGAATAGAATATCAGACAACTAAGAGGAAGTCTTTACAATATGGGGAAGCATTTGTGTAAATACTACATAATGTTGCCGTGTATTGAACTGCTTTTTCTGTTGATTTGTTGTAAAACATGAAGTTTTGGTGCTTAATTTGTAAAATCATAACATAATTTGACGTTTAATAGGCTTTTCCTTAATCCCTCCTTATTATCCAACATTTTCGCTTATCCAACGTTCTGCCAGCCCATTCATGTTGCATAAGAGAAACTCAACTGTACTTGGTAACAGACAATTGAACTGATGGATTTACTCCACTGTGTACACTGAGATGAAGACAAGAGAGACTTCCATAACCCATGTTCACATGACTGTCATCATTTGATGAATGCATATGCGTGTGAATAAGTTCTTTGAGAATTTCAGTTTATAAAATAGTATTTCTGACAATATATTATAATACTAGTTCCCTTCCAACTGTATGAAGCTACACACTCTGAGATGAAAATTATATAATGAACCAAGATACCTGTGGTGATAACACTGATCCCTTCCTTCTGCCATGTTATTACAGGACGAGGTGTGCCTACTGCTTCACAAGGTAAAAGAACTGCGTTGTTGAGAATAACATCAAGTGTGCCAGGCTGGAGTTGGATAGTGGGTGGTTCTAAGAGACAAATGAGCACAAAAGGGAAGCTGATCCACCAAGCTGGTTAAATATACATTCATATAACCTTTCAGGGGGAGTTCACAAATAAAATCATAAAGCATATTAAAATATAAACAATATTAAATTATTTCTGCCTTCACTCATTCTTGTTCAGAACAGCATAAAATTTTCACAAATAGTTTTACAAAGTAAACCAGAACTCACTAGAGCTACTTTCAGCCATAAAGAATTAAATGTAAAAAATGTATATATTTTGAAATAAAAATGGATTCTAAAACTAAGACAGATCCAAACTTTTCATAATAATCATAATCATATAATTATAAGCTAAAGGAATGCGAACTGACTGTTTCTTGAATGTAAAAAACTAGGCATCAAGCAAGGGGTTCAACTAAAACTTATGTCTTTCATTCTAAACCAATATAGATTTTTATGCAGGAAGATTCAGAAGAACCGTCATTTACAGCCATTATCATTATTGTATCACTGGATTTTCTTAATATATAGCCAGGCCCGTAGCCAGGATTTAATTTCGGGGGGGGGGGGGGCTAAAAAAATTTCAGGGGGGGTTTCGGGGGGGCTGAGTTTCGGGGGGGGGGTGAGTCTGAGTGAAAGAGGGTCTAGCCTAGCAAACCTTTTGTATCATTACTCCAATACCCCCATGCATATGGGATATATTGAGTATGGTGATCAGATCATGATATTAATAAACATAACAGTTTAAATAATGCACCAGTAAGGCCTTTTCGCGAACCACCATGAGAATTTCGGGGGGGGAGGCTGAAGCCCCCCGAGCCCCCCCCCCCCCGGCTACATGCCTGTATATAGGTGTTAACACTCCCAGCAGAGCTGTGCCACTTGAACATTTTCAGTATGAATTCAGCCTTTAAATTCATGATGGTGAGAAAATCGGCCTTCAGTTGGATAAGAAATATACAAGTTCTTAATTCACCCTGAACATGAAGAAGGACATCTCTATGGGCAGATCCAGCAGAATTGTGTGCAGTACAGGTGTACTTTCCTGCATGGTCCAGCTGAGCAGCCATTATTTCAATAACACCTAAAGGAAGAAGAAGGAAACTTTTATCAACTATGATGAGGTTCCACTTCCAACTCCTGAACAGCTGAAATCATAGAATCATAGAGTTGGAAGAGACCTCATGGGACATCCAGTCCAACTCCCTGCCAAGAAGCAGGAATATTGCAAATGTCCTTTCTCCCAATTTCAAATAAACAAACAAACAAACAAACAAATAAATAAATAAATAAATAAAGGAAATGTATAAAGGGGACTGAAGGGACTTCTTCAGCAAAAGCTGCACCAACATCTGATGCAAATATACCTTCATAGAAAGGTTTGATTTGTTTCAGCCTTTTATGAAAATGTCAAGTAAAATAAAACTGTATTTTCCTTCCACTGATTTTCACAGATAATAACTTTAAAATGTGTAGAACTACTAAAAACTATGATAAGAGATTTATACAGCGGAGGTGCTGAATGGAGGAGGATGTACATTTCTATGTACATTTCAAGTACATAGAAATGGAGATAGATGCAATTTAATTTTCATTTTCTCCTTAGGCATAGGAAACACGAGTTTATGACTGGAACAACAGGATACTTGTATATCCAATTTTTTGGCTATCATTTTTCCCTCGTCACATTAGTTAATATAAATAAAAGTGTTTAACCCTCCACCCTACTCAAAAACAAGTCTTATCAATATCCAGCCACACACTTTCCTCATAGCAGGATGCTATGACCTGTGCCTCCCTCATTAACATGGTTGTGAAGAAGGGTGTTAGGCAAGGAAATGCCATGGGAAGTAGAGAAGGAACATTAGACTTGAGAAGGGTTGAGCCAATAATGAATAGCTTTAGCCAACTGTTTTATCTGAGGAAAATGATGGCACCATTTAAGGTAACAAGAATAAAATGGGCACGAATCTCTTCCTTTCACGTTAATATTATATTCCAAAAAGATATAATTATAACCCAAAGTCTCTGTAACCTGAAGACAGAATTCTGTAACCATTTCCTCGAGGAAGAAGTCTTATTCCATTTTTGGTCCAGTGGATGGTTGGCGTAGGAACACCAGATGCAGTGCAGGGGATCACCACTGGAGACAGCTTGGTTACCAAAATATCTGTAGCTTCATCAGCTAAGGATGGTGGCACTAAGAAAAAGAAAGATACTGATAGAAGTAATGATCATTTGCATTTCTATGATGTTACCTTGAATGAATTACAATAAAGGATCAGAAGAACCAGAACCAATTAAGGAAACATAATGTCAACATGGATAAACTGAGTTTAGAGAAGAAGGTCTGTCTTATCTAAATCAGCAATGGAATCATATGCTGTTGTTTGGGATGTCCATACACACAACAGCAATAACAACAACAAATTAATAAACTCCAAGGACAAAAAGAAAACACATTAAAACATCAAAGGAAAGCAAAAAAAAGAATTTGAATTTTCTGTGAATTTCATTGACTCATCAAATATACTCTGTTTATTTTTTTCTATCAGATTCTGAAAAGAATGAGAAAACAGTCCTGGGATTGTCCAACAGTTTGAGAATGGATACATAATTATGTTGATGTGAACTGAATGTGATGTCTATTACCACCAATTAGGTTAGAATTGGTGGTTTTCAAGTAAGTTTGTTTATGATGTCAAGTATTTACATGCTAGCCTTCAGCCAGAAAGGCTCTCCGAGTGGCTCTCATCCCTAGCATTGCTACCAGTCTGAACAGAAACAGAAAGATATTTTGTGAAATAAGACATCCTATCATAGAATAATAGAATCATTGAATCAGAGAGTTGAAAGAGACCTTGTGGGCCATCCAATCCAGCCCCCTGCCCAAAAGCAGGAAAATCGCATTCAAAGCACCCCCAACAGATGGTTACCTAGCCTCTGCTTAAAAGCCTCCAAAGAAGGAGCCTCCACCACACTCTGGGGCAGAGAGTTCCACTGTTGAACAGCTCTCACAGTTAGGAAGTTCTTCCTAATGTTCAGGTGGAATCTCCTTTCTTGTAGTTTGAAGCCATTGTTCTGCATCCTAGTCTCCAGGGCAGCAGAAAACAAGCTTGCTCCCTCTTCCCTGTGACTTCCTCTCACATATTTATACATGGCTATCATATCTCCTCTCAGCCTTCTCTTCTTCAGGCTAAACATGCCCAGCTCTTTAAGCCGCTCTTCATAGGGCTTGTTCTCCAGAGCCTTGATCATTTTAGTCGCCCTCCTCTGGACACATTCCAGTTTGTCAACATCTCCCTTCAACTGCGGTGCCCAGAATTGGACACAATATTCCAGATGTGGTCTGACCAAGGCAGAATAGCATGACTTCCCTGGATCTAGACACTATACTCCCATTAATGTAGGCCAAAATCCCATTGGGTTTTTTAGACACCGCATGACATTGTTTGCTCATATTTAACTTGTTGTCCACGAGGACTCCAAGATCTTTTTCATGCGTACTGCTCTCGAGCCAGGCGTCCCCCATTCTGTATCTTTGCATTTCATTTTTTCTGCCTAGGTGGAGTATCTTGCATTTGTCACTGTTGAACTTCATTTTCTTAGTTTTGGCTCATCTCTCTAATTGGTTAAGATCATTTTGAATTCTGTTCCTGTCTTCTGGGGTATTGGCTATCCCTCCCAATCTGGTGTCATCTGCAAACTTGATGATCATACCCTTCATCTAATAAATTAATATTAGATGAAGATGTTGAACAGGACTGGGCCCAGGACGGAACCCTGAGGCACTCCATTCGTCACTTCTTTCCAGGATGAAGAGGAAGCATTGGTGAGCACCCTCTGGGTTCATTTGCTTAACCAATTACAGATCCACCTAACCGTAGTTTTGTCTAGCCCATATTTGACTACTTTGTTTGCCGGAAGATCATGGGGGACCTTGTCAAAGGCCTTACTGAAATCCAGATACGCTATATGCACGGTGTTCCCTGCACCTACATAGCTTGCAACTCTATCGAAAAAAGAGATCAGATTATCAGTTTCCCAACTGGTGCCAGTAAAATTATGTGAAAATAAATCATCAGCATGAATGGCTAAAAAATAAGCTCTATATAGATTGGAGTGAGCAACTTATATTTCTCCAGATGTTGTTCTCATCACCTTTCAATTGTGAAGGATGATGGCAATGGTAGTTCAACAAATATGGAGGGTGACATATTGCATTTTGTATCCTACATCGAGCCATGAAGAGAGGTGGGTAATAAGCTATTGTTGTTGTTATTATTATTGTTATCATCATCATTATTATTATCATCATCATTCCTCTGGTCTGCCTGTTGACAGTTGTGAAGATAAAGGAAGAAGAGGAGAGTCATACACATTACATTGAACTTCCTGGAGCAAATGTTGGTTATAAAAGTAATTACTTGGCTACTTGGTTGAACAATTACAGCTAAGAGAACAGAAAGACCCAAAGCTTAAAAGCCAATTTCTTAGTAGTGCCTTAGCTCCTGTATCTTCTAAAATCCAATAAATGTACATTCTAAGTAACATTGATGAAAACTTTTTACACAACCTCTGAGGATGCTTGCCATAGATGCAGGCGAAACAGCAGGAGAGAATGCTTCTAGAACATGGCCATATAGCCCGAAAAACCTACAACAACCCAGTGATCCCAGCCATGAAAGCCTTCAACAATACATTGAAAACTTTTTAATTGTGCCATATACCTTGCAATCTTAAGAAATGGGGCTACAAAGTTGAATCCATGACATGCGAGTGTGGAGAAGAGCAAACCACTGACCATCTGCTGCAATGCACCCTGAGCCCTGCCACATGCACAATGGAGGACCTTCTTGCGGCAACACCAGAGGCACTCCAAGTGGCCAGATACTGGTCAAAGGACATTTAATCAGCTACCAAGTTTGCAAAATTTGTGTGGTTTTTTTTTATCTGTCTGTTTGTTTTGTTCTGTTAGAAATGTAATACAATGTTCTGGTTGTGGATGACACGATAAATAATACCTTGCACATTGAGGGCAATTGCTCTTTGATCCTCGCCTGCTTCATTGGATACTGTGCACTCATAGAGTCCAGTGTCATCTACTGTTGGAGAAATAATTATGAGCGATCCTGAAGACAAATGCCTGTGAAAAGATGTTATTGTTAGTGAAGTTTTTGACATAAGAAATACAATCTAAATATTTTTTTCCTAAGATGGAATTCATTTGACAGTCATTTTATATTGGGCCCCTTACTGAAACTCAGCTGGGAGAAAGTGCTGTAGAATCTCAGACTTGGAATCATTGTGAGGTACCAGCACCTCTAGTTAAGGTTTATGCCTTGGGGTCAAAGTTATCACCTTACTTAGTAAACCAGATTCCTTTGTTGGCTTGGTTCCCATGAATTCATTTCAGATATAAATCCGAAGTACCCAAATTCTAGATATTGCTCAAAATTAATTTGGATTTGGCATGACACTATTTTGTTCTTCCCATCCATATGACCTGCTTTCACTAAATCACAGTAGAAGGGAGTGCAAGCAGAGTGGAATTTGAGTGATGTGTCCGCAAACCATTTATACCCCCACGTGGCAGCCTCTAGTGATTGTTGCACTACTAATTTATCAGCCCAGTCACCTGGTGCAGCTTTGACTTCCCCTCTGCCCCTCTCTGCCCCTCTGATACAGGGGTGAAGTCACATCCTTGTACCACTTTAAAAGGAGACAATCCTGTTGACAAATCGTCCGAGTTATTATAAGAAAACCTGGCAAAGGGAAGAAAATCCACTCAATTGTTTTGCTGATAATTACTGTAACAGCACAAAAATTATTAAAGGGTATTATGTACCCTCTCAGTGGCCCCATCCATCATGGGATGAAATACTGAACTGAGGGCTTGCTCTATCCTTAACAGTTTCAAGAAAGCCCTCCAGTATTTGACTGTGAATTGTGGCCCCCCATCTGAAATAATGATCTCAGGACAGCCATGGAGGTGGTAGACAGGAAACACTAACAATTTAGCCAGCTGCAGAGCAGTATGTAAGCCTTTAAGGGGGACAAAATGGACCTGCTTGGAGAATAAGTCAATGATAGTCCATATAGTGTTGCAACCCTTACTGTTTGGCAATTCTACTAAGAAAACCATAGCTATCTGCTTCCAGGCTTGGTGAGGCTCTGCTACCCTTTACAATAACCCTGTAGGTTTTCCCACTTTTTGTTTAGCCTGGGCACAAATTTGGCATTCTTGCAGATAACTTTTTACATCTTTCTGCATTTTCAGCCACCAAAATTGCCGACTGAGTAATTTCAAAGTTTTGGTATAACCATAGTGTCCTGCAGTTTTGTGGTTGTGGCCTCACTCTAACACCTTCATTCACACCTTTTGTGGTACATAAAGCCTACTACCATAGTACCATAGCCCCTCCCTTTCTTCAGCCAAATTTCTATTTTTCAAAGCTAAGTGTCTGTTTTTGCTTTCTGCCACAAATCTTTAGCTAGGTCGCTTATTTGATGGCCCTCCTCACTACCTTTTTCCTCTTCTATTTAGCCTGACACCATGTTTGAACTACTAATCCCAAGTGTTGGTCTCCAAATACTGTCCCGGTCATCTGCTCTGTTTCACTAGCATGTTGGGGCATTCTGAAAAGTGAATATGCTAGGCAATTCTGTTTGCTTGGAAAGAATCCCAAAGTGAAATTAAAGCAGCTGAAAAACTGCATCCACCTAAGCTGCTTGGTATTGAGTTGCTGTGGGGTTTGCAATGCTTGCAGATTTTTATGATCTGCCCCCCTCCAAAAATGGCACCATGTTTACAGGACCATACACACCACACATGCCAATGTCTTTCTGTGTCTGAATTTTTTTTTATAGGCGCAAGGTACCAAATTTCCCTCTGAAGTTTTTTCCCCACCAAACAGCCCCATAAGCTCCCCCAGAAGCATCACAATGTATTATGAAAGGCTAGTCTGGCCAGGGATGTACTAGAATAGGCTGGCTGGTAAACTTTATTTTTAGTTTTTCAATAACCTGTTGGCACTCAGGAGTCCATTTCAACTTTGCTCTTAGGTTCTTTATTCTTTTACTCTCTCCCTTTCCCTTGGTCTTTAACAGATCTGTGAATGGCAGTGTGGTTTTAGCAAAATCCTTAATAATTTTTTAATAGAAATTTGCAAAACCCAGGAATCCTTGGAGCTGTTTTCTTGAATGAGGGACCACACATGCCAAAAGATCCTGCACTTTACTAGGATCCATGCCTATCTTGTACTTGGAAATGTGGAACCCCAAGTAGTCTAGTTCTTCTTTATGGAACTCACACTTGGACAACTTGACATAGAGCTCTGCTTCTTGTAATTTTGTTAATACCTACCTGGTCAATTTTATGTGTTCTTGTAATGATGCTGAAAAAATTAATATGTCATCAAGATAGCCTAAAACTCCCTTATTTAGGTACGGATGTAGGACTTCATTGATGAATTCCATGAAAACCCTGGGAGTCCCAGCCAAGCCAAACAGCATTACCGTGTACTGGTATGATCCCATAAGACAATTAAAGGCTGTTTTCCATTCACCCCCGGCCTTAATTCTGATTCTCTAATAGGCTTCCCTTAAGTCTAATTTTGTAAAAAAAAAATCCCTGGGATAGTGTGATAACATATCTTTTATCAGGAGTAAGGAATATTTGTTGATGGTGAATATGGCATTTAAACCCCTATAATCAGTACACAAGTGTAACATCCCATCCTTTTTGGCAGAAAGAGCACTGGAGCAGCCATGGGTGAGTCTGTGGGCTCAATAAACCTACATGCCAGATTTTTGTCCAAGAACTCTCACAGTGACCCTTTCTCCTTTTTGGACATTGCATACATCTTAGGGAATGGTAACTTCGTGTTAGAGTCTATGTGAGTGGCACAATCCGTTTTCCTGTGGGGAAGAACGTGGTTTGACTGTTTTTCCAAAAAAATTGATACATCCTGGTAAACTCCTGGGATTTCCCCAGGGAGGGTCTCCACTGCCCCAACATGGATCAGTGCAGGCCTCATGATTCCCACGGCCTCACATTTCCCCCACTCTCAGACCCAAAACTGTGGAGTATAGCGCTCATTAGGAAAAATGAAAGTCTCTGTTTCCCAGATTGTAAGAGGAGTCTTTTGTTTTAACCAAGGAATTCCTAGAATCATTGGGTAATAATTAACTATAGGGCAAACTACAAATTGCAATGTTTCTCAGTGGATTTTGTTCTCCACAGGGCCTCCTTGACTTTTTGATCCATCTAACTGGGTAAACAATAGAGGGTTTTTTCAATTTGTTCAGTGTTACTTCCAGCTGTGCTGCCACTGCTGGAGTTATCAGACAACAAGTACACTCAGAATCCAATAGTCCCCTTTGGGTCACACTTTCCCTGTTATTGGGGTTTATTAACCTAACCTGTATCTGCACCGTTTTATAGCTTAAGATCATTGGGGGAGGGGGTTGTGCCTCTAGTAGAGATAGCCTGCTGTTGGGCACCCTTTACAGCAGACCTTTCCGATTTCCTTGTGGCTGATCATCATTGCTGTCTGAACTGGTAGGCTTCCCATCAGCAAGTAATGTATGATGTGATGGACAGCAATTACAACTTTGCTTAGTGTAATAGTGACTGGGATGAATATTAACTTTTCTCCCAATCCTGAATTAGATCAAAATAGAGTGCTGAATGATCTCAACATCAGCCAATGCATTAAATTATTTCTGGATTGGATGAGGAATTACTGCAGCAATCTTTTTCTTACCAAAATATCTCAGACTATGATATTGGATTGTGTGATTTTTTAAAAAAGGTTTCTAATTATTGTTTTAATGTATATGTTTATTTTACTTGATGTATGTTTATGTGGCACTGAATTGCTGCTTATATATGTGAGCCTCCCTGAGTCCCCTAAGAAGTGAGAAGGGTGGGGTTTAAATGCGGTAAATAAATGAATAAAATAATACTTTTTTCACAGTTTTTTTTAAATTACCAAAAAAGAAGCTTCCCCCCTCTTCATCTACCTAGATAAGGGATTCAGAGACATACTCTTTTGGGTCACAAAAACCAGATGTATCTCTTGCATTTACTGAGATACAAGTAATCAATTCCCAAATAAAATTAATAAAATAACTAAGTTCCTACTGTCAAATTATAGGTCTTATAGGTCTGGAAAAAAACAAATAAGTAAAAATACCATATTTCACCTGAATGAATTCTGATTCTGATCCACATTAAGGTGATGCCCGTTTTTCTTCCAGATGATTTTGGGTTTAGGGATTCCTGTTGTTTCACATGGCAGAGTAGTCTGGACATTCACAGTGACTGTAATGTTGACAGGCCCAGGAGCAAGTGATGGAGGAACTAAATTTAAAAAATATATGAAATTCGTAACAACAATGTTGACCAAGCAACAAATCATAGAATCATAGAGTTGGAAGAAACCTCATGGGCCATCCAGTCCAACCCCCTGCCAAGAAGCAGGAAAATTGCATTCAAAGCACCCCTGACAGATGCCCATCCAGCCTCTGTTTAAAAACCTCCAAAGAAGAAGCTTCCACCACACTCCGGGGCAGAGAGTTCCACAGCTGAACAGCTCTCACAGTCAGGAAGTTCTTCCTAATGTTCAGATGGAATCTCTTGTAGTTTGAAGCCATTGTTCCACGTCCTAGTCTCCAGAGCAGCAGAAAACAAGCTTGCTCCCTCCTCCCTATGACTTCCTCTCACATACTTATACATGGCCACCATGTCTCCTCTCAGCCTTCTCTTCTTCAGACTAAACATGCCCAGCTCTTTAAGCCGCTCATCATAGGGCTTGTTCTCCAGACCCTTGAATATTTTAGTCGCCCTCCTCTGGGCACATTTCAGCTTGTCAACATCTCCCTTCAATTATGGTGCCCAGAATTGGACACAGTATTCCAGATGTGGTCTGACTAAGGCAGAATCGATGGGTTGCATGACTTCCTTGGATCTAGACACTATATTCCCATTGATGCAGGCCAAAACCCCATTGGCTTTTTGGCTGCAGCATCACATTGTTGGCTCATGTTTAACTTGTTGTCCACAAGGACTCCAAGATCTTTTTCATATGTACTGCTTGTTGAATTTTGAATTTTGAAATATAAATAGGGAAAACAATACTGGACTTTTAACACACACACACACCCTCAAAGATCATCTATCTCAATAAGTCAAATAATTTGAACACTTCAAAATCAAAAGCCAAATCCAATTGTTACTCTATAGAAACACCACATATTGAATAGTAAATCAACATATACATTGGGTTGCTGGTCTACTCAACCAGCACTTGGTTTTAAGACAAAGTATTAGGAAACATGCATATTCTTTGTACTATAGCTCTAAAATAAATTGAAGACTAGCAGCAGCATCCCAAATGTGCAAGCCATGGTGTTGCCATATAACCCATGCTTGTTGCTACTAAATGTTAGAAACAATGTATGGTATTAAACTCTGGGCTGCAGGAAAGAAATCTATGGTGCTGGAAGAGAGTTTAGCAGATATCAAGCTCTCACCAAAAAAACAAAGAAATGTGTCAAACAATAAATCAAGGCTTGGCTCTTATGAGATCCTAAAAGAATTAAAATGAGACTATCCTACATAGACATACCATAAGAAGATATTACTCATAAGAAAAGATGCTAATGCTCCATAAGTGGAAGATAACAGAAAAAGAAGAAGACCATATTAGATTGACTGATTCAATCAAGGAAGTGTTTTTATGTGAAGCAATATATACCTACCATGGACATGGAAATCAATTTGCTTGCGCTCAGTGCCAGCAACATTGCTTGCCATACAAAGATAACGGCCAGTGTCAGTGAAATGTGCTGAATCTATATAAAGGGATCCGTTGTTCAACATTGAATATCTAAAAAAGGATTTAAAACATAGCTGTGATTTCTCTCATTGGCTAAATATACTAAATTGCAGTGACAGGCTCATTTTCCAGAAAATGATTATCCGGATTAGTAACTACTAAGTTTGCTTCATATCTTGGCTTCTTGAAAGGTTAGAACAGGGATGGAAATGTGAACCCAGTGGGTCATACATGGCTGAACATGGCTATTTTTGAAGTGTCTCTTCACCCAAGCACCTCAACTTTGAAAAAATTGAATTATCAGCAGTGTTTGCTAATTTTGCACAGAAAATCATTTTCAAAAAATGAGTACTTAACAAATACTTTCTTTAAAAGATGGCCAAAACATTTGAAAATAAAATCAGCAAAAGACAATTTTTTGCACAGAAAAATATTTTATGGAAAAAATATTAAAATTTTGCCCAGAAAAAATGCTGTGTTCAGCACAAAATCATAACAAAAGTTCGGTTTTGTAAAATATATTGCCATTCTAAGATTATTCTTGACAGAATACTTCAATACGCAGAAAAAGCTTTCAGACATCTTTTGGAGAAAAAAAATCAAATATTTTCCCACACCTAGCAATGAATTGCATTTGATTCCATCAGTGTCATAAATCAACGTTGCCCTTCTAATATCATATCAAATCTTATGTGCCAACAGTGTAGTTCTATGTAAGTTTTTCCAAGAATCGTGTTTTAATTCCAATGTTGCAAGCAAATACTAGAATTGATACCATAGAATGCCTTTTTCCTGACTGGCAACTAATTGTTACCTGGCATTATTTCCAGCAAGAACGGTTCCGTCTTTTCTCCATGAAATTTTTGGGGTTGGTGTACCTTCCGCTACACACTCCAAAACAGCAGACATATTAATATTCACAACCACAGTCTCAGGTCCATCTTTGATTGTAGGAACAACTATATAAAGGAAGAATCCCAAAAAGCAGCAAAAAATGTGAGTTATTGTCTCCCGTTAAATCTTTCTGCCATTTTATAATATTCAGACAAACATATATGGACTCCTTTAGGCCACAGAAGGTGGTATTATGATGCTAAAACTACACTGTCTTCAAACATCTAATATATTTATGTGTTTGCATATTGTTTAAAAGGAGAAAGTATGTCAAGGTTTATTGCAATTTTTTCAGATATATGACTCCTTTACAATACAATGAGAAAGTCTTCTCTGAAGTAAGTCTTATTGAATTCAGTGAAGCTTACTACATATTTTGGGGGAATTTGACTGCAGTGACTGGACATATTATTTATTTATTTATTTATTTATGACATTTATATGCTGCTCTTCTCACCTCAAAGGGGACTCAGAGCATACAATATTTGTACATACAATATTTATATGTACATACAATATTTTATATTATTATCATAGCACAATATTAGTATTATATATTACTTTATTATACTATACTACTATACTGTAATATTAGTAATATTACATGTAATATAAAGTACACAATTATTATATTGTATTATTAGCATTATATTGGATTACATTACAATATTGTGTATACAATAAATATATTATAATATTAGCACAGCACAATATTTGTATTATATTGCCGGTGACATTACACTCACAATGAAGGTATGCATAGTTAAAGCAATGGTATTCCTTGTAGTAACCTATGGATGTGAGAGCTAGATCATAAGGAAGGCCGAGCAAAGGAGGATAGGTGCTTTTGAGTTGTGGAGCTGTAGGACAATTCTGAGAGAGCCTTGGACTACACGAAGATCAAACCAGTACATACTCCAGGAAATAAAGCCCAACTCTTCACTGGACGGAAGGATATTGGAGGCAAAGATGAAGTACTTTGGCCACATAATGAGAAGACAGGAAAGTTTGGAGAAGACAGTGAGGCTGGAAAAAGTGAAAGGAAAAAGGAAGAGGGGCAGACCAACAGCAAGATGGATGCATGGTATCTTTGAAGTGACCGGCTTGACTTTGAAGGAACTGGGGGTGGCCATGGCCATGGCTTGGGCTGGTCCATGAGGTCACGAAGAGTGGGAAGCAACTGAATGAATAAACAACAACAACAACAGCATATTGTTGCTGGGGGAGGGTCTCCCAACTGATGACCCAGGAGACATGATGGAACTCTGCCTTCCTGGCTCCCCTCCTTCACTCTTACCATTTTGCTAGCCTTTGCGCTTGGACTCATCTAATATTTGCTCCACTTACAATGGGACAAATTTCACTGGACTGCACTCTATCTGCCCCATCTTTCTTTGAAAACCAGCGTACAGTGAGTTTTGAAAGAATTGCACTCTTGCAAGCTACTTAGAAGGAGATCTTCTGCTAAAACAAAGTGCACACCCCCTCCTGGTACAAAGAATATTAAAAATTGTTCTCATCCTCCACAATGCCCTCTTGGCATGTTGAGACACCTTGTTTTCATTATTGTTGTGCAATAAAAATGATGTGTGTGCCAAGATCAAGAAGAGAAAGCAATTTTATGGTGACGAAGTCACATGGCACTTGTGCAACATGGCCTCAATGAACTGTGACATTACACAATCGAATACACAACTCCATCTGCATGAACAATGCCCATATGTGCATGATGCACATATTTATCTATGCAAAAATATAAAAATTCTTGCATGCATTTAGTTGCATTGGACATAACATGCATGCTCTACCTCTACAGTCTTGAACTGAATGCAGATGTTCTGCATCAAAAAAATGTAAATACTTCCATAGGGAAACTCATGCATGTGTAAGACTACAATGTTCCAACCCTCATTTTTGGCATGAAATACATGTTTGCAGAAGGAATCTTCTGCAGAAAATACAATGCCCAAAACACCTATGATTTGCATCCTCAAGTACATATGGAAAAGTGGAGCAGGAGGGAAAATTAGACTTCACCAATATTTGTGGAAGAACAAAATAGGCAATAGTTTAATGCTGCTTGAGCACATTCATGTTCAAACGTTTACATCCCCAGTGCTTCCTATGCATATTGCTTTTTAATGGAACTTCTTACTGTATTTTTTTTTGCACCACAATGAGAGGGGAGAGCGCACCTTTCACACTTAGATTTTAACCACCTGTGGTTTAAACAATTGCTACAATAAGATATTGTCATACAACGTATGTCCGCATGGTAAGTATGCAGCTCTTGCTTATGTGGCGCATTTAACTGCAGGTAGTGTATCAGATGGTTCCTCATATGAAAACTTCCCTGAATATAGAATAGTAGCAAATTGTAGAGAAGTAACACTATAATAATCTCTCATACACTATGTGGGAGATATAATGTTAAATGGAGGATTATCAGACCTAAAATCTGTCACTTATTTTCTGAAATAATATGGTATATTATTCTGTGTATTACATGGTTTGTATTCAAGATATGGGGTCACAAAGTCACAAGGAGTCACAAAGGTACTTAATGCAAGTGTTGGTTCTCACAGGCAAACAGAAAGTAGAGCCTTTGAGAACAATCAGTTTCCACCAGTATATATGCAGAGAAATGTCCAAAGACAACAGATGTATTATTTTCTTACCATGTACTGCCAATACAAACTCTTTTTTCATTTGGCCAACAATATTACTTGCAACACAAGTGTAGTTTGCCTTATCACTGAGGTCAGCATTATTTATTTGCAGATATCTTCCACCAGATAAAATGCGAACTCGAGGTGTTGCCTGGCAGAAAATTTTTAAAAAGCAGATAATATATTCAACAAGGTACAGTACCCACAACAGAATAATAATAATAATAATAATAATAATAATAATAATAATAATAGTTTATTTTTAACCAGCCCTTTCCCCGAAGAGACTCAGGTCAGCTTCCAAACATAAAACAAAAAATTGACAAACATTCAATGGGAATAATATAGCTAACAATTGGGAATAATTATCACTAAGGTTTTCTAAGAAAGGCAAAGCAGAGCATGCAAATACATGTATCATATATTACAGCACTTATATTCCAATCTTCTTATATCATGGAACTCAAGCTGACTGGCATGGGCTTCTCAGATAGTTTCTTATCTAGATACTAACTAGAGTAAGATCTGCCTGTCTTTATTATGTGGCTTTATCAACATGTGTCCTCAAACTATGCCCAGCCTGAGACAAAATTATTTCATTTTAAATAGAGTCAAAGGGATGGCTTATAGCACAGTGTAGAACAGAAATGGGCAATGTGCAGCATTTGGAGGTGCCCTTGAGCTCTGCAAGGGGTAAAAAAACAATTTTTGCCAATTTATTTTCAATTCTCTGAAATGCTCCGAAATGTCTTTTGGAATGATGAGGTGCATTTCCACCAGATTTTGCAGGGTCCTTGAGCCAATTTAAGTACAGAAGAGGCCTTTTTTGAAACTCAAAACATGGTGAAAATGCTACCACATCACCTTGGGTGCAAAAAAGTTCGAAAACCACCTAGCATACTGTAATGAGGCGCGTATATGATCAAGGAGGGAATTAAACTCAGGCCTCACTTATTGGAAAGAATATATTGTAAACTAGGGTAGCTGCCACCAATCGTGAGGTATATGGGTCATCAATGATAAGATTTGGCTTCACAGATGCAGATTGACTGAGATGAAACGGTCTTCAACAAAAGAGAACAAGTTTATTTTATACAAAGCGTGTGGTTACGAGTTGTTGAATGACTTCTGGAACTTTAAGTAACACTCTTTCAAATGATACAGCTTATAGCAACTGTTAGTGAAATGTAGCACTTTGCTGAGCAATGTTTCCTGAGGTGAATAGCTTTCTAATTTGATCTGTCCTTGATCAAACTACTGATCTCTAGTCTTCTCCCGACTAGCGATCTTAACTAGCTTTCTTTAGCCTTCCCTGACTAAAGAAACTATCTAGGTTTCTCCCTCCCGCCTTCCTAGGCTGGAAAACCTACTGCTATTCCCTCTCACTGCTCTTCCACTAAACTACTATCTCCGACAGCTGACTGAAACGACCTCCTAACTGGAACTGCTCACTCCGAGTTCCAAACCCTAACTGACTGCTTCTTTTCAAACGCAGATAGATTTCTCTCGCTAGGCTCCGCCCACTTTCCACTCTCTACTGCTAGCCTGCCTTGGTCTCCATGGCAACGCCACAATGGATACAACCAGTTATCTCTAGTTTTCAGCTACTGTTACCAAACAAATAGTTAAACAGTTCAAATACATATACCTAGTTTCAATAACTTCCTTACAGATACCATGTCATAATTATTTTTAAACTTTAAAAAGCCTTAAAATGTTATTTTATTTCATTCACATTGAGACGGAGTATTAGGCACTATACAGAGAAAGAAGCAAGACTCGTATAGACAATAGCTACATTGGGTAGCTACCTGTTTATTTATTTATTTATTTACTTACTTATTTATTTACTTTATTTATTTACTTATTTATTTAAGATATTCGTATCACGCCTTTCTCAGCAAGTGGACCTATGGTAGCTTACAAGTAAAAACACAATCCAAACATTACAATATAGATGCAAAGGTAAAAACATGAAGAAAGCATATATTCAATATAATCAGTTGCTGCCTCCTTTGAACAAACCCTCCCCCCATACAGGCATTAAACCTTAAAACTCCACCCTATCCTCCAGTGACTCGGTTAAAAGCCTTCTTCAAAAGAATGGTCTTGATTCCTTTTCAGAAGCTTAATAGGGATGAGGCATCTCTTAATTCTTCTGGGAAGGAATTCCAAAGTGCTGGTGCTGCTCTTGAGAAGGAGCCGTCTCTGGTTCTAAACAAGCACATGTTGAAAAGGGCTTGAGTGGTAATGAGGGTCTCTCTGCTAGATCTCAGCACTCAACCTGGAGTGTATAGGGGCACAGAGTTCCAGGTAGGCTGGACCAAAGCCATATAGGATTTTATAGGTAAGAACTAGCATCTTGAATTGGGCCTGGAAACGAATAGGCAGCCAGTTGAGCTATCTCAAGAGCAGTGTAGTATGCTCCCTTCAAACAGCTCCCGTTAGAAGTCTGGCTGCAGATCTTTCTTACATTTCACTCAACATTCACACACATATACTCATTCATTCCAACATTCACACACATATACATTACATACATACCATCTCTTCTTCCTTATCCTGGAAAAGAGACCCCAAAGTAGTCTAGATTGCATTCCCAGCAAATCTGCCATTCTGTAAACACACCATCTTCCTCCATCCCTTGGAGGGGATGGTGGGTGACCAGACTTCTCTGGTCTGCCACAATTTTGGAATAGTAAAAGTGTCTCTAGTCAAAGCTATGGTATTCCCTGTAGTAACCTACGGATATGAGAGCTGGACCTTAGGGAAGGCTGAGCGAAGGAAGATCGATGCTTTTGAGCTGTGGTGTTGGAGGAAAGTTCTGAGAGTGCCTTGGACTGCGAGAAGATCCAACCAGTCCATCCTCCAGGAAATAAAGCCCGGCTGCTCACTGGAAGGAAGGATACTAGAGACAAAGCTGAAGTACTTTGGTCACATCATGAGGAGACAGCAAAGCCTAGAAAAGACAATTATGCTGGGGAAAGTGGAAGGCAAAAGGAAGAGGGGCCGACCAAGGGCAAGATGGATGGATGGCATCCTTGAAGTGACTGGACTGACCTTGAAGGAGCTGGGGGTGGTGACGGCCGACAGGGAGCTCTGGCGTGGGCTGGTCCATGAGGTCACAAAGAGTCGGAGACGACTGAACAAATGAACAACAACAAAAGTGTCTCTTATATAGCATATTTCTGCTGATGTTGTTCCAAAAAGTTGTAAATGAATGACAGGTGTTTTCCAGCTAAAACATTGTTTGCTTTTCATCATCATCATCATCATCATCATCATCATCATCATCATCATCTTTAATTACTTATTAATCGCCCTCCATCTGAGATGCTCTAGGCGATTTACATAGCAGACATTATACAGGATAAGACACATACATACAAATATTAATAAATTAACATGAGTCAAATGCTCTAGTAAAAAGCCAGATCTTAAGTGCTAGAATAAAAGGCCCTAAGTCACACATGGCTCTCAAATAGGGAGACAAGGAATTCCATAAGGCATTTCATAGGTGTTTTTGTGAGTAACCTGGTTGTAGCTTTTCTTCTTAAGTAATGTACATTGTTTGCTTCTTTAATTTAAAAGAGTAATTATCTCTGGTAATGGAAACATGTTGTTTACCACCAGGAGTTAATAATTTCTCTCTGATCATCAATGTCACCAGTTCAGCAATTTTTAATTACAATTCATGAATTCTTCTTTTTTGTAGATTTCCAGGCTTCATTTCTTAGGATGGTATCCTTAGGCTATATAGACCCCAACCATACATCTTTCATAGAATCATAGTATCATAGAATCATAGAGTTGGAAGAGACCTCATGGGCCATCCAGTCCAACCCCCTGCCAAGAAGCAGGAATATTGCATTCAATTTTCATTCAATTTCATTCAATTTCACTCAAACCATAGATCATATTTATCACAACCAGGCCCCCGGGTCTCCTAGGGGGTTAATGTGCCCCTTTAGGCTTCCACAGTTGCCCACCCCAGTACAGACATTCAACATCTAGTGGAAGAATCAAAAATAACTTCTCCTATTCCCACATCCTTTGTGGTCTTCACCTTAATAACTGTGTAGGTCCTTCTGTATGATTCGTCTAATATACATGGTTTTTACAGAGGAGTTTGCACATGTAGAAGTGTGGTGTACAAACTGGATGAATCAGACCTACTCCTTTTTCAAAAGTAATAATCAGGAAGAGGTCTGGCTAGCACAATCTTCATCTTCCATCCTACATACAGCTTGGGCACCTACAAAAGGCTTATGAAAAATTACCTGTAAAATCTCTCCATCTTTCAGCCATGCGATTGTAGGAGGAGGCACCGCATCTGATTTACACTCAAGTATAATCTGCCTATTCTGCAGCACACTGAGATTTTGAGGATTGCTAGAGCCAGCAATATTAGGAGGAACTGTTAGAAAAATAAATTGACAATTAACATTGTCAATAAATGTGTACCTTAGTTCAAAGGGAGTTTGCAAATGTTGAATAGTCTTAGAACACTGAGCCTCAAATAAATTGCTTTTGGTGTCCGTTCTCAAAATGAAAACTATGGGCACTTCTAGACTTCACAGAAATGCACACCAAAGAGGGTTTTAAAAGCCTGCTTTGGTGCGCATTTCTGTCCCTCCACCTCCCTCCAAACCCAGATTTCCCCAGGGAGGAGTGTTGAAATGCCCTCCTGGCAAAATCGTTCCTGTCCCCTTCACCTCCTAGTATATTATTTATTCGCAACAGTAAGCCTGACAGAGCAGCATAATGGTGGCAGTGAATTTTAAGGCTTTTTTGGGGGTTGGGGTGCCATCACACTTCTCTGGGCTTTTGGAAGTACAAATAAGTGACATGGCATTGGGGACTGACCCTAGGGCAGGGGTCCTCAAACTTTTTAAACTGAGGGCCAGGTCACAGTCCCTGAAACTGTTGGAGGGCCGGATTATAATTTGTAAAAAGCATGAATGAATTCCTGTGCACATATCTTATTTGTAGTACAAAAACACTTAAAAACAATACAATAATTAAACTGAAGAACAATTTTAACAAATATAAACTTATTAGTATTTCAATGGGAAGTGTGGGCCTGCTTTTGGCTGATGAGATAGGATTATTGTTATTGTTGTGTGCTTTCAAGTAATTTCAGACTTAGGTTGACCCTGAGCGAGGGCCGTGTAAATTACCTTGGAGGGCCATATCCGGCCCCTAGGCCTTAGTTTGAGGACCCCTGCCCTAGGGAGTACCTGGGTATCAGTCCCCATAGTCCCCACAGCCCATTAGTCCCGGCCTTGTAATGGCTGTGTGGGATTGTCTTACTGGACTGTTAGATCTTCTTCTGATGTGCTTTCCCATTGCCATTACTTTCCCATAGCCAATTTGTACATTGAGAATCAGCATGATGGAGTGTTTGTGTATTGGACTAGGACTCTGGAGACTAGAAATGACTTGAAGGCAAACAACATTTCTTGTTTTTCCCCCAAAATGAATCCTACCATGAACTCTCACTAAATATTCTTTGTCATCATCTCCTGCAGGATTAGAAGCCAAACATGTGTATCTTCCAGTGTCCTCCACCTGCAAAACAAATAAATAATTTCAGTTATAAACAAAGTTTATCCAAATTAAATTAAATTAAATTAAAAGAAATCTGATGAAGGTTGGCTAAAATAGGACTTTATTTAGTTGTGAATAAATTGTGATTTTTATTTCAGTTACCTGAACACTGGATATCCGAAGAATCTCGCCTCCTCTTAAAATATGAGTATCATCTGTCTGGAGCAATGGCCACCCGTCCTTCATCCATGTGATTTGCGGGACTGGGATACCATCAGTTATACAGAAGAGCTCTAGTGGGTTGTTAATCACTATCAAAATTTCTTCAGGATGACCTGATCCATTAATACAAGGAGGTTCTGAAAAAGAAGGTGGCAAAAATATTTATCAAGGAAATATGTATCCAAATGTTTGGAGACATGGTAAACAACTACAGAGAAGCTATTCCAAAACTTTTGCTGTATGATTCAGCCCTGTCATTAAACTACTGCAAATATGGTAACTGATGACCAGATATCTTGTGATGTTACTCTTCTTACACAAAAGCTAGTCATCTGCAGATAGAAAGGCCACTGGTACTATTTTTTTTCTATTTAGGTCAGATTATTCACAAGCCATGATTACAAAACAAATGACAACTGATTTAAATCCTCAGTTTTAGCCCTACCTGGCCATGCCTCCAGGATTTTAATATTATTGAATTGATCTTCAAAAAACTTACCTAGTATTTTAAGAGTAAAGTGCTTGTTGTCTTCCCCAGCTTCATTAGATGCTATACAGGTGTAGCTACCTGTATCATCAGGCTCTGTCTTTGCTATATGAAGACCCATTTGTTGGTTTTCCAAAGTCATACGGGAACCAAGATTTAAAGGCTGGCCATCTTTAAGCCAAGCTATCTGTGGTGCTGGTGTTCCATCAGCCAAACATACTAAAGAAGCTGGATTCCCTTGGACAACAGTTATTTCTTCAGATCTTCCACTATTGTCTATGTTTGGTGGTACTGCAGAGAAACACCATGGTGATTCGTTTTAGTAATAACTGTACACGGAGTTTTAATAGCAAAGCTTTAATTGTCTGAGCTGTTAATCTATATTTTGGCTGCATGACTTTTTCCAATGACTCGCAACATGAGATCAGTTGGCAAGCATAAACTTTTTTACCATTTTCCCCATAAGCATCTTGTCCCTTGGAGCCATCTCTGAGCCAAAAGCATTTTAGTGTTTGGCGTGGAGTGCAGTAAAGGAAGGTGAAGACAAACCAGGAGGTTGCCAAAAATCAGACAGCTCCAGCATTTAGATGTTCGAAGAAGATAGAGACACACAAGAGAATGCATGTAATATAGATACTGTTAGATGACCTAGGTGATCAGAAATACACATACATATAACACTTGCAGCACAATCCTACAGAAGGCTTTTCAAAAGAAAATCCCACGAATTTTAAAAACACAAACCCTAGGAAGTTGAGTATAGCACTGCCACCTTCAGGAATTAACTCACATAAATGAAATCAATATTATTTTATAATATGTAGAACAGCGTTTCTCAATCTGAGGGTCGGGACCCCTGGAGGGGTCAGGAGGGGGTATCAGAGGGGTCACCAAAGACCATCAGAAAACACAGTATTTTCTGTTGGTCATGGAGGTTCTTTGTGGGAAGTTTGACCCCATTCTATCGGTAGGGTTCAGAATGCTCTTTGATTGTAGGTGAACTATCAATCTCAGCAATGACAACTCCCAAATGTCAAGACCTCTGTTCCCCAAACTCCATCAGTGTTCACATTTGGGCATATTCAGTATTTGTGCCAAGTTTGGTTCAGATCCATCTTTGTTTGAGTCCACAGTACTCTCTGCATGTAGTTGAACTACAACTCCAAGACTCAAGGCCAATGCCCACCAAACCATTCCAGTATTTTCTGTTGGTCATGGGAGTTCTGTGTGCCAAGTTTGGTTCAATTCCATCATTGGTGGAGTTCAGAATGCTCTTTGATTGTAGGAGAACTATAAATCCCAGCAACTACAACTCCCAAATGACAAAAGCAATCCCCCCTCAACCCCACCAGTATTCAAATTTGGGTGTATCAAAAATGTGTGCCAAATTTGGTCCAGTGAATGAAAATACATCCTGCATACCATATATTTACATTACGATTCGTAACAGTATAAAATTACAGTTATGAAGTAGCAACAAAATAATGTCATGGTTGGGGGTCACCACAACATGAGGAACTAGATTAAGGGGTTATGGCATGAGGATGGTTGAGAAACACTGATATAGAGTGTCTTACCATAGACATGAAGGCTATAATGCTTATTGTCTACACCAGCTCTGTTGGAGGCTACACATGTGTACATGCCAACATCAGCTATCTGCATTCTTACAATTCTGAAAAAGACAGAATCATGAACATTTTCCCAAAACTCACAATAGTGAACATACGCTTTCAGCACTTGCATAGTATGCTTAATCATACAGAAAATCCAATAATACTTTTTTCCAGGTTTCAAGGGCCCCATGAATGCATGAAATCTAAGATGTGGAAATATCTAATCAAGATCTGTTATAAAGTGGGAAGTCAGTTTCCCATGATCAGAGTCCTGGGGATTGTTGTCGCCATATTGCTGTGTGCCTTCAAATAATTTTTTATTTGTAGAAAATCTAATACAGGGTTTCCATGATTATATTTGTTTGGAGAAGGGTTATTTTTGTCTTCTTCTGCAGCTGAGAGAGTATCATTTGCCCAAAGTCACCTACTGGACTACTACTATGGAGACCAGGAGTCAAATGTCATAGAAAACCACTGGGCAGCCTTGATCTTGGATAAGACAGCCTAAACTTCAAAACCTATTACTATAATGTCCACCAAGCAACTACATAGATTTGTACCTACTGTAACGTCAATTAGATGCTATACAGTTTTTGCTTTTGTCCTGGATATTATGCACAGAGGACACAGAGGACCAGGAGGCATTACTGAAAGCATCTAAGTAGTTCTAATTCTGAATCAAACAGGCCTGGAACTGACCAATACCTGATCTACAGCCTTATCACATTGTGCAATTGAAGGGTCCTAGAAAACTTCTGCCCTGGTTTGCTCATGGAGCCCCATGCTACCCATCAAACAACTTAAGGCAACTTCTGGTGGGGCTCCGTGGGTGAACTGAGGTGGAAGTGTGGTGGGACACTGCCACTGCCAACACACAAGACACCCCATGTTCCATAAGGAATGGGGAAACATCAGCTGATGTCTGGGGCACTGGGATTGCCTTTCCAGAATAGGAAAACTCCAACAACCTGTCCCAGAAGCAATTTATTAGACTTTAAGATTGCTTGCACACTGCACTTACCCTAAAATCTGACATACTACCTGTCACATCAGCACTTTTAATCTGTACCCATTACTTTGGCCTGGCCCAGTTTTATTGTGTTTGGTGTATTGTTTTTATTGTTCTGTTGTTTTTGATATTGCTTTAATTTTGATTTGCTTTGAGTTGTGTATTGTTATGCTATGTTTTTGAGGCCTTGGCCTTTGTAAGCCTCATCGAGTCCTTCGGGAGATGCTAGCAGGGTACAAATAAAGTTAATAATAATAATAATAATAATAATAATAATAATAATAATGATAATACTGCCCCGCTGCCACTCCGATTCATAATGGAGGGAGGAGAATCATAGCTTTGGACCTCATCCATGTGATGAGGTCCCTATTGTAACAAGTCAATCCAAACTGTATTTATTTTACTTTCCAATATTTTAGGGCACATCCAGACAGCACCTAAAGCACGCACCCTCTCGCATTTTCCTCTGGGGTGTCCAGATGATGTCTCAGGGGGAAAAAGACTTTTTGCCAAGTTAATTTGATAGTGGGTTTCATCTGTGCCTTCTTGAAAGGTGCAGGTTATGCTGTCTGGACAGCCTCCTCAGAAGTCCTGGACTTATAAGGGGGCAGTCCAGATAGCCCTCTCATATTTTTCTGGGCTGAAACAGCCTGGAAAACTGAGAGGGCTCACACACCCCCCCCCCCACCCCCTCAAAAAGCTGCTGGCCCTCTCCTGACACATAGCAGTGATGCACCAGGAAAAGAGGGGAGGAGAATTGCTCCTGTCCCCCTCCTGGCATCATTCCTAAGTGCCAGGAGATCTCAGTAACCACGCTAATGGCAACTGGGTAAGTTTATTTTTAAAGGGTTTGGGGTGGGGGTGGGAGAGGCTCTGAGTGTCTTGCTGTCCTCCCAGAAGGTTCCGGGAGGGCATCTGGACACCCAGCCCCAAAAGCACATATTCTTGAGGCTGGTGTACAAACTACAGTCCATCCCAACCCAGGTTTCAGCACAGACTTTATCACTGTCTGGAACCGCCCTTGTTATTATTTCCTGCTGGCAATCATAACAAGTATCCCTCTAGATATTGTTGGATTGTACCTCCCATCATTCTCATCACTCTCTCTTGGCTTGGGCTGATGGGAGTTACAAATAAAATAATCTCTGAAGGGCTACATAATCTCTAGCATTAGGAGAAAAGCTAGAAACAAAATGGTAAGAAATATAACAAATAATATCATTTCTCAGGCATAAAAACCTGGAAAGTATCTATCTTAATGATAGCACATAATTTCCAGAAATCCTGCAGGATTTCATATCAGTGGAGCAGTGATTAATGTTAAAGGATTAATGTTAAAGGAGCTACACAGGGTGACAAACATGTTTTGGGAAGAAGAGTCAGCATTTTGGAGATATCCAGAATATTCAGAAACAGATTAACCAACATGAAAGACTTCCGCTACAACTAAGCTCTATAAAATAACAGTTCAGATGAAATTCCTCTTTTTAAAAATAGTTTTTATTCAGACATATAGAATAAAAGAAAGGTTACAGACTTACAAAACAAGAAAAAGCAAAAAGACAGAATTAAGAGTACCAAAAAGAGCAAAATAAAAAACCCCACCACAAAAAACTAGAAACCAAAAATATATGAAATTCCTCTTGAATACTGGATAGCAGCACTCAATGGCGTGGAAACACACCCCTCAGAATGGGCAAAGATTTTGCCCAACACAGATTGTAATTGAACACAACAGAAATTACGAAAGTTTTACCTGAGAACATGTCCCGCTGAAAGTAACCTGATGTGTGATGAGATAGAGAGAGGTAGACCATTCTTCAACCAATTTATCTGTGGTGGTGGTGTACCCACAGCTTGGCATTCAATATTTATTGAAGTATCCAGTACGGCTGTTAGTGCTTCGGGTTCATCCTTATTGTTAGTTATAACTGGTGGAACTACATATCACAGACAAATAAAGGAATGAAAAAAATATTTGTGGCATGTATACAACACATGTATTAACCTATATGCCTAGCAAGGTTTTCCCCTGACATTGTCCAGTCATGTCCAATTCTGGGGGTTAGTACTCAACTCCATTTCTAAGACGAAGAGCTGGAGTTGTCTGCAGACACCTCCAAGGTCATGTGGCTGGTATGACTGCATGGAGTGCCATTACCTTTTCACTGGAGCAGTACTTATTGATCTGCTCACATTTGCATGTTTTTGAACTGCTAGGATGGCAAAAGCGGGGCTAACAGTGGAAGCTCACCCCACTCCTCGTATTTGAATCAGTGACCTTTTGGTCAGCGAGTTCAGCAGCTCAACAGTTTAATCCATTGTACCACCAGCACCAGGGACTCCAATTTATACTCAATACTCAATTTATACAACGGGGTCAGCAACAGGGTTAAGAAACAACCCTGTTTGGCCCATTATGGTGGGAGGGGGGACTTCCCAGGCTCTTCTTCCTGTCATTTTAGGTATTGTTTGTCATTAAGACCTGGATTAAACATCAGAGTTAACATACCACTCTTTCTGCGACCTTTTCCCTTTTATCTGTAGAGGAAATTGAGTTTAATGCTTTGTTAAAGCTCTTAGTTGAGAAGGGGCAGGCATGCACTTTCTCTCCCTGTAGCACATCATGTAATGTAGCTTTCCAGAGCATTTTAAGAAGGCACAGAGAAGGAAGAGCAATGACCTGGGGCTATTCTCCTCGGGCTTCCTTTAAAAAACCCTCTCTTTTCTCTACTGCAGGCCCTACTACCTGGAGTGGGCACACTTCAATCTCCTTTCTGCTTCATATTTAATGTTTCCGTGAAGTTTTTTCTACTTTCTACTCTAGAGAAAAGTTAACTAGGTGGTATCAAATCAAATCAAATCATTTATTTCAGTCATTGACCAGCACAGAAAATAGAGTCACATTTTCATACAAACTTGGTATGTTTGGTACATTAAAAATATAAATATAACTACTAAAGCACAATATGGGTGAGGGAGCAGAAGGGGAAACAGGATAAAAACATACAATGCACAGACCCATCACCAAATTGCAGATTCAGGGAAGAAGATTACTGGACACACAGTTGACTTTGGGACTAAACTAGGTGGTAGTACTTTTCAGAGAATGATGATTTTCTTCTTGTTTGCTGGGATTTATTATTATTATTATTATTATTATTATTATTATTATTATTATTATTATTATTATATTTTAGACGTATTTGAAGGAGAGAAAGGGAAAGAGAAAAAAAGCTAAAAGGGTGACTCTCCCAAACCCCCAAATGCGCACGTGCACCCGACATGTCCCGCACATCCCCAACTTCCAGTCAGTCCCACTAAACAAAAATAATCAAGAAAATCAAAGAAAATCAAAAAATTACATTGTGATGCCTAATAGAGGAGGATGAGCTGAGATTGACTGCTACGTGTGTCGGAAATATTAAAATTTAACTAGGTATTTTGGATTACAAAAGTATGGATCAAGCACTGAAAGAGTTAGTAGGCTAAAGCCTGTTAGAGTTAGTGAGCCAAAGGTAGTGTTGTTCTGAAGAGAGTAAATAGGCTGAAGCCTGTTAGTGTTAGTTTACCTCAGTGAGGAAACTCCTCAGTCTGTGTGAGAGAAGCCTTGTGTTTAAAGCTCCTGTATAAAGGCTGCTGCATGTAAAGCTGCTATGTATTTGTTTATTCGTGTTATAGAAACGTTGTGGTTGTAAATAATGCAACTATATTATTTTGCTATTTAAAAGCCTCCTATGGAAGAGATAAAATTGGTCTGTGCGTTTTTGTTCTTTTTATCACTTTGGGCTACTGGTGCTGGGTCATGCTGCTACTGCTAAGTTACTCTGCTGTGCATTTATGAGGAGGGTCTTTTGTTATTAAGCCTACTCACCCAACAAAGGTTATGGGCCCAGGATAACTCAGTATAACCCAGTACAGACCAGTAAAGACCATATTGAGGCAAGAAATATGGCAACGGCATTTTAAGCAAGTGGACTGCCTTTTAGAAGCCCCTGCTGGCACAGTGGGTTAAACCGCTGAGCTGCTGAATTTGCTGATTTATTTATTTTATTTATCGTATCAGGAGCAACCAGACAGTTGTGTTACATTTTTTAATAAAACAAAGAAACAAACACACAAAACACAAAGTTTGCAAGCTTGGTAGTTGATTAAATGTCCTTTGACCAGTAGCTGACCACTTGGAGTGCCTCTGGTGTTGCCGCAAGAAGGTCCTCCATTGTGCATGTAGCAGGGCTCAGGTTGCATTGCAGCAGGTGGTCAGTGGTTTGCTCTTCTCCACACTTGCATGTCGTGGATTCCACTTTGTAGCCCCATTTCTTAAGGTTGGCTCTGCATCTCGTGGTGCCAGAGCACAGTCTGTTCAGCGCCTTCCAAGTCACCCAGTTTTCTGTGTGCCCGGGGGGGGGGGAGTCCCTCATTTGGTATCAGGTTCTAGGTTTGAGCCTGCCACTTTTGGACTCTTGCTTGCTGGGATGTTCCAGTGAATGTCTCTGTAGATCTTAGAAAATTATGTCTTGATTTAAGTCGTTGATGTGCTGGCTGATACCCAAACAAGGGATGAGCTGGAAATGTCACTGCCTTGGTCCTTTCACTGTTGGCTGCTACTTCCCGGCAGATGTCATGTGGTGCAATACCGGCTAGACAGTGTAATTTCTCCAGCAGACACCCCGTGATAATGTGGCATGTCTCATTAAGAGCCACATCCACTGTTTTAGCGTGGTGCGATGTGTTCTACACTGGGCATGCATACTCAGCAGCAGAGTAACATAGCGCAAGGGCAGATGTCTTCACTTGCTTCGGGAAGGGAGACAGTCTGTGCCAGCGAATCAAACATGGCACCAATGAACCTTATGGTGGTCATTGGGATCAAGTGAGACTTCTTGACATTTAGCTGGAGGCCAAGACTGTCGAGGAGGGTCAGCATCATCCGTATTTGTGACCTCATGAAGGTGGGAGACTGTGATGTCAGTAACCAGTCATCCAGATATGGAATCACCTGGATCTTTTGCTTCCGGAAGTAGGTCGCAACCACGGACATGCATTTTGTAAAAGTCCTTGGTGCGGTTACCAGGCCAAAAGGAAAGACATTGAACTGGTTACTCTGGCCATTGACCCAAAATGAAAGGAAATGCCTATGACTTCTACGGAAAGTAGGCATCCTGAAGGTCGACAGATCCAAAATAATCTCCTGCATGGAGAAGGGGAAGTATGGACGACACCATCACCATTCTGAATTTCTGGGCTTTTATGAAGTTTAGATCTCGCAGGTCGAGAATTGGTCAAAGGGAGCCATCGGGCTTCGGTATGGTGAAGTACCTTGAGAAGAACACCTGACCGTCTAAGCACATCAGTGAGGGACCGGAGGTGAAATAGAGGCCGTTCTTGCCTGGAGAGATTCTTCATGCACCCTCTTAAAGGCAATGTGCATAGTCGTGGAAAATGGTGGCGTTGCAGCAGTCGACCTCGTGGAGTGAGTCAAGCAAGCAGAAGCTACCGAGCTCGCAGTGGATGACTGTTGAGTTTGCATAGTCTCTATCGTCAAGGTGCGCGGCTGTTTAGACTGCCTCGTTTGTCTCGAGAATTTTAAAATCCCCAACATCGCCGAGTGAGGTCTTGCTGGCGAAGAAGAAGGCCTCGCCAAGGTCGATGTTGAAGGAGCCAGAGTTTGTTGATAGAGAAGGTACCTCAACCGAACAGCTCGATTCTTACAAGACTGAGCCGTCAACGCTTGACAGTGACAGCAAGACGTGGTGATATGGGCTTCACCAAGACATAGAAGGCACTTCGAGTGCTTATCAGTCAGGAATTTTTCTAGAACACTGTGAGCAGTGCTTGAAGCGAGTCATTGACACAGTGAGGAAGTTCCGATGTGAGCCTTGCAGCGGAAAAACAAGAACTACAGAGCATGCCCTGCTGGGAACTGGGAGGGATTACTGGCAAAACTTGGAAGTTTTAAACTTGGGAAGTTTCCGTTGGGGCCTGCGCAGGCACAGCCACTCCACATGTGTGCATTCACAGAGACCACCAAAAAAAAAAAACCTTGATACTTCTTGAAACTCTATTCTAGGTAGCTTTTTATGCACAATTAAATTATCATTATTAATATTAATGACATATTGGGATATAAGGAATATATTCATAAGCTTAGCTAACAAATGAATCAGATATTCATTTACTAAAGACTCTTTTGCAATGGCAGTTGACAACTTATAAAAGCATCAAGGGCCAAACTGGGGAGAAAAGGAAGTTTTGAACCCTGGGTGAAGTAAAACCTCTTTACAGAATTGTTATTATGAGGAATAAATACTATTGATGACTTTTCAACACACATAAATCTCTGGAAGACCAAATATTTGCAGTGATTTTCAAATGACCACTGAATTTCTAACCTACAAGAACATGATTCATTGAACCCACCAAATTTTATGGGTAAGCAACAGTTACCACAATCCCTAACCAATGACTATATTGACTGTGGCTTATAGCAGTTAAGAACCAATTAACAGTACTATGGCCAATGCTTATGTACATATAGGATTTTAATATCTTCTTCCTCTAGAAAGCAGGAAAGCCCTAGAAGAGAAAACTCACCATATACATTCACATTGAAAATTTTGTCTTCTTCTCCTGCAAGATTGGTAGCAACACAAGTGTATTTCCCTATGTCACTTGCAAGGGCTCCAGAAATGCTCAGCAAGCTGCCATCTGGAGTCATGCTAGAAGAAGAAATCACAGAACAATTTGGTTTATATACAAACCCCATACATTCACCTTAACATCAAGACAAATGTCCTGAATATAACATCTCAGGTTTTAAGATCAAAACAGTGGCCAAGATGTCATTGTATATCTGAAATGCAAAGTTCAGCTGGGGACAACAATGATATTCAGGTGACTGTTCTGGTTCATGTTCTAATCATGAATTCTAATCATGAATGGTTTGCATGAACAGGCAGTCCCCAAGTAACATCAAGATAGTTTCTGTCAAATTCCAAAAAAAAAAGAGAGAGAAACAGAAAAAAAGATGAAATGAGGAAAAAAGAGGGGGGAAAGATATACAAGAGAGCAAGCAAGTTTACAAACTGGTATACAGTTAGCGCTCGTTAAACCTGTGAAAAATCAAATTTGGCTGTTTCTTGTCCCTCTAACCTCCAACACCCCTCAATATGGATCACATAACTAACCCACGACTATCCATACACCTTTGGCTTCTCTATTTTTTTCTTTTTAATTTTGGTAAGCATCTCTGATTGCATATTGCTTCTTCTTTTACACCAAACAGCATGTTATTGAATTAGTAAACCTCCTACAACTGTTTTTCCTGCATCCCAAACTGTCTATGTCCTCCTTACTATTTTCTTTAATGCAATTTTGTATTCCTGACCTGATCTTTTCCTTAACTTTTTGATCTTTCAATATATAACCATTTAGTCTCCAATGCTTCCTTTCCCAAAGTCCCTCTTTTAATTGTAACAGCATCGGATTATGGTCTACAAATACTCTGGAAAGGAATTCCACCTTCTGTGTTTTGATTAACATTGCTTTAGTTGCAAAGATATAATCTATTTTGGACAACAATCCGTGTATGAGAATAGTATGAATATTCCCTTCTATCTAGCTTTTGTATCCTCCATATGCCACGTAATTCTCAGTGTTTTAAGTCTCCTAGTGGGGTGCCTGGAAGTCTCCCTTCCTTGGAGTCATTTTTTCTTTTATAATTCCTATATATCTTTGTATCCATTACCCCATTAAAGTCCCCTAATCACAACATTTCTTTCTCCCCTACTTCTGCTAGGATATTGGATAACATTTTATAAAATGTGTTTTGATTTGTGTTAGGTGCATAAATCCCTACTAATAGAATATGTTTCTGTTGAAACCTCATTTTAACAATTAATATCCTATTTCTCTGGTTTTAGATCCTTATTTATATAGAACAGTACTCCATTAGTTTTCTTAACATTACACACCATGTTATACCCACCTGATTTTTATGTACAAAGTGAAAACCCTTTCCCTTTTTATACAAGTATTCGCCCCATTCACATTCATAGAGATAATTCTTAATCCATATAATTTCATCTATTAACAGTCTTCTCCCTCTCACCCCCCTCCCCTATCCACAAATGCTTCCCACTTCTTGATACCATTTATTATATACCCCCAAAATATTAGATAGTCTCAGAACCCAACTGTTCTTCTGATGCTGCTTCTTCATCTTCATTGTCATCTTCTTTATCATCATCTACACCCTTCTGGAGACTCTGTTCTTCCCCTTCTGCTTGCTGCCTCTGCGATGCAATGGAAGAATACTAATCCTTCTACATCCTTTTTCTTTGTGGGCGTATCCCCTCTCAATCAGTGTCATCCTTGAAATCCCTATTATATTTTTATAGAAATTGTTCTGCTTTTGGTATGACCAAAATATTGTGTCTTTTAGATTTATAGTAGAACGATAATCCCTGGGGATACTGCAATTGAAAGGTAACTCCTTTCTTCTTCAATTTTTTCACTAAAAAGGTGAATTCTTTTCTTTTTCTCAAATTGAATTTGTATGTTAGTCAGAACATATACATTATGTAAGTGTAGTGTAATTATATATGTGAATATATATATATATATATATATATATATAGAGAGAGAGAGAGAGAGAGAGAGAGAGCTTTGAATAACATAGGGAAGGGTTAACAGCCCTGTCCTGTTTGTTTTGCTGTATGTGCCTCTGTTCAGAAGATTTCATCTCACCTTCTGTTTCTGTGATAATTAGAAGTTTTTTTTTTTAAAAAAATGGCTTGTTGTGGAAACAAGAACTGGTGACAAAGCTTCCATTGAGAAACTTTTTCCCCATGATAACTCTTCCAGGTGTGAATTTCTCTCATTTCCTGTTCTCTCACCCCCATTCTTAACAATTAGTCATTTGTAAGTTGGATGTTTGTAACTCGTGGACTGCCTGTTTTGATATTTGTTTTGATTGAATTGCAAAAATATTTGCAACTAGTACAGCTGGAGGCCTTATTTCTCTTATTGTTTTCTTCATTTTCAACATTTCTCTATCACTTTATATTTTCTCCTGTTTTGATCTATTTCTTGTTTTGATTTTGGTTAGCTTCAGAATGACAGAACCAAATACTTAACCTTATCCTCTGGGATTCACCACTACCAACTGGTTTTCCATCTTTCAGCCACTGTATTACAGGTCTGGGAATTCCACTGGCCTTACAGGAAAGGTGTATGTCTTCCCCATGGAGAACACTGACTTCACTGGGCATTTCAGACCCAACAATATCTGGGGGAACTTTAGGAAAAGAAAGGTGCATTAGCCACATAGTGTGAAAGGCCAGTAGGAGCAGGCAGTCACAGAGTCAACGAAGCCATTCATTGAAATGAAGAAATCATGAGACCTTTTGAATCCAAACCTAATCATTGTCTGAGGGAAGTCTGGGGCTTCTAAAATACATATTTAAGAAAGAGCAGTTAGATGGGGAGGGAAATGTTCATGGAGCTATCATTTTTACAGTATGGTGCTAAAATGGATCTTTACTTTTTATGTTAGGATAGTTATTATAATGAGCTTTGGAGTTTACAGATTAAAATAAGTGGAAAAGTACTGAGAACATGAAAATGCATTCACATACATACACAAATGTACCTTGGACAGACAGCACATAAAATTTCTGTGCTTTGCCTTCAGCATTTGAAGCAATGCAGGAATAGTTCCCATTATCTGAATATTGGGACCTCACAATTTGCAGCTTGCTGCCTCCTGACAAAATATGCATTTCAAGTGAGGCAGAATTTTCTAAATGAAAAGAAAGGGGAAAATAGCATGTTGATAATATAAGAACTTTTGGATTAATATAGGATATTGATAATATAAGAACTTTTGGTTTAATATAAGTATATTTTAGAAAATGAAATAGGAAAAAGAGAAATGGTTTCACTCTGTGGTCTTAAACTGCTAACCTTCAGCTTATATGGGGTTTAGGAACACAAGATCCCTGCCAATGTGTGGAAACTGCCAATATTTTAAGCCCCCCCCCCCCACCCAAAATATATATCTTACAGACTTGTTCTGAGGCTGCTTCTACTGCATTTCCATTGCCTCAGCTTCCTAGGATGATGGCACTGCTACAAAAATCTCCTGCAGTGCCATCCTACTTGTCCTCCTCTCTGTTTCCTTTCCCATCCCATGCCTCAATCCCTACCTTTTCCATCTTAGTACCATGAAACTGAGGGCTCATTACCAGGCTTTTTCTGCCACCTTCTGCAATGGCAGATGTGTCTGACATCTTCCAAAGAAATTCTGGAAGGTGGTTGCAAACTAATAACAGCTTCCCAACATTGTCAGGGCTCCTCTCTGGGCATCTGGACTTTCTTCCATGCCTTTCTGGCCAGTGGTTGATGCTAACCATGGGAAAATCATGACAACACAAGAGGAGGAGGAGGAGGAGGAGGAGGAGGAGGAGGAGGAGGAGGAGGAGGAGGAGAAAGGAGGCTGAAACGTAGAAGCAGTGGCAGTGGGGAGGCAAGGGGACAATAGAGACAGCTTGGGGAAAATGGCTGAGGAATTGTGGTGCCAAGATGGTAAAAAGAGGTGAACTGGGAGGAAAAGAGACAGAGAGGAAGAAAATTGTAAGAGATTTTTCTCCAGTTTCTAGGAAATATAGATCAGTGTTGGTGGCAGTTATAAACCCATGAATAAATTTGCAAAAGAAAAACCTGTATAACCTGAGAGCCAACTCTAATTATTTTGTTCTGGTGTGTTTCCAGCCAATGTATTTTCCATTTTCTATATAGAAAGATTGGATAGCCTAATGTACTTTACATTTTCCATATAGAAAGATTGGATAGGCAATTTATCACCAAGAATAATACATTGTAGAATATGTTACCAAGTGGCTTTCCATTCTTGAACCATGTTATGGCTGGTGGTGGAATTCCAGTAGCATCACATGTAAGTGCCACAGGGTTACTGATGGTTTCATTGATCCACTCTTGTTCAGGGCCTTCAATAGTGGGTGGCACTTATGGATGAGAAAAGCAACAGAATGCATACACAAAATTACAAACAAACAAAAAATCCAACCCCAAACCAAATCAGCAATACTGGAAACTGAGGGACTACGTAGAACAAATGAATGAGTCAGTTTAGGGGTGAATTGACTCCATGGTATCTACACGATGCCCAGGGCGCATTCACCTTCTCCCATATTAAAAAAAGTTACAAACTACTATGGAATCTGGACCATTCTAACAACTACTATGTCAGGCTACATAGAGAAGCCATTGAAATCCACAAACATGTGGACAATTTCGTCAGAAAGAAAGAAACCATGAAAATGAATAAAATCTGGTTACCAGTATTTTAAAAAGCCTCTAAAATTATAACAGTAAATAAAGAACAAACCTCAAACACAGGGGAACAGGGGAACTCCAGACAATAAACAATCAGAAACATCTAATCACCTCTCAACAAAAGATTCTCCCAGACAGTAACAAGACACATATAAAAACTGTCAGGCCATCAAATGCTAATCAAGTTGGCCAATTTAAACATTCATACCTATCTCCAACAGAGAAGAAAGACTCCCACCCTGGACTTTCCACAAATATATAAACCCAAATTTCCTAGTTTCCAACAGACCTCACAACCTCTGAGGATGCCTGCCACAGATGCAGGTGAAATGTCAGGAAAGAATGCTTCCATACAGCCCGAAAAACATACAACAATCTACTATGGAATTTCCTTGAAGCTCCAGAATTAGTCCATATTTTGAGCCAGTTTAAACATTTGAGCTGTTTACACTGCCATCCCACTACCCCAGGGTTCAGACAGCCCAGGGACTGAGGATGGTACCTCCTTTGCCCTTTCATTCCAGGCTTTGCAGTGCCCACCAGACACGAAAATGGTGTTCATTTTACTAGGAGTGATGCTAGCCAGAGCAATGAGGTGATTGAGAAAGGGAGGGACAAAAGGAGGGAGTGATTTCTCTATCCACCTGTCTCTTTCATGTGATTGTATCACTCTAGCTATTGTTATTACAGATGTCAAGCAGAGACCAGTACCATTTTCATGCCTGGTGGGAAATGCAAAGCCTGGAATGCACTGGGGAAAGGTAATGATGTCAATCTAGTGACACTATCTAGCCACCAGGTCAGTCTAGGGGCATGCAGTGCAGACACCCAGCAGCTCAAGAGGTGGCCATGCAGACCATGGCAAAGGTGATCACGAATACCCCACTTTAGATCAACATTGCTGCTTCTTGCACATGTAGATGTTCAAGATGGGTGGAGACTCATCTCTTTTGTTCTCCTGCCATCAGAAGCAGCAAAAGAAGTTTAGAAATACCTTCTACAAAGTCAGAGTTCACAATGAATGGGCCTATCTCTAGCTGCTCCCTAATAAGGGAGCTAGCCTGTTGGTCAAGTCACTGCTGGTTTATACAACATAAGCTTACCGTGAACATTAAGATGGAAATTCTTGTCATCACGTCCTGCAATATTTATGGCTTTACATACATATTGACCTGTATCAGATACCTGGAAATGCAGGAAGAAAAATAACATACAAGCATTAATTTTCTAAATAACTAGCTGTGCCCTGCCATGCGTTGCTGTGGCCTATAGTAAAACTTATCAAAGTTGAGGTAGATATCTGGACTATTATGAAAGAGGGGTACCTACCTATACCTTCCCCCTTTTCCTCCCCCTTTCTCTCCTTTCTTCCTTCTCTACCTCTTTCTTTCTTTCCTTCTTTCACTACTTGGTTTCATCCTTCTCTCTTTCCTTCATTCCCTCCCCCTTTCTTCCTTTGCCTTTCTTACCTCCCTGTTTGCTTCCTTCTTTCTCTTTTTATTTCCTTTTATTTCACCACCATCATAACAATAACAATAATGCAATGCATTGCCTCTGGGACCTGACACCTCTCCCATTCCCCCTAAAAGGGTCTCATAGGAATAATAGCATAATAATAATCATAGAAATAACAACCTTTACCCGCCACGCGTTGCTGTGGCCAACCTTCCCTCTTTCTCTCCTTCTTTCCCTCCTTCCTTCCTTCCCTCCCATCTTTCCTTCTCCTCTTCCTTCTCTATCTCTTTCCTTCCTTCCCCCTTTTTCTTTCTCTTCTGGTCTCTTTTCTTCCTTCTCTCTTTCCTTCTTTCCTTCCCTCCCTCTTTCTCTACATCTTCCCCCTTCCTTCACTCCCTCTTTCCTTCCTTCATTCCCTTTTTTCTTTCCTTCTCCTTCCTTCCTTCCCCCTTTTTCTTTCTCTTCTGGTCTCTTTTCTTCCTTCTCTCTTTCCTTCTTTCCTTCCCTCCCTCTTTCTCTACATCTTCCCCCTTCCTTCACTCCCTCTTTCCTTCCTTCATTCCCTTTTTTCTTTCCTTCTCTCCTTCTTTCCTTCCCCCTTTTTCTTTCTCTTCTGGTCTCTTTTCTTCCTTCTCTCTTTCCTTCTTTCCTTCCCTCCCTCTTTCTCTACATCTTCGCCCTTCCTTCACTCCCTCTTTCCTTCCTTTATTCCCTTTTTCCTTTCCTTCTCTCCTTCCTTCCTTCCCCCTTTTTCTTTCCCTCCCTCTGTCTCTCATTTCTTCCTTCTCTACCTCTTTCCTTCCTTCCCCCTTTTTCTTTCTCTTCTGCTGTCTCTCTTTCCTTTCCTTCCATCTTTCCTTTTCTTTCCTTTTCTTCTTCCTTCTTTCTCTAACTTTCCTTCCTTCCCCCTTTTCTTTACCTCCCTTTCTCTTTCTTCCTTCTTTCCTTCCTTCCTGTCTTTCCTGGATTTTGACAGGGCGGGAAGGGGCGGGGTGGGGTTTGGAGGTGGCGTGAAGTAAAAGAAGGTAAGATTGGGGCAGGAGTGATGGAGCGTGGGTTGTGAGTGTGTGTGTGGCGGCGGGGGGAGTGATGGAGCGTGGGGTTGTGTGTGTGTGTGCGGCAGCGGGGGGGAGTGGGGTTGCGCGTGTGTGTGTGGCGGTGGGGGGAGTGATGGAGCGTGGGGTTGCGTGTGTGTGTGCGGCGGGGGGGAAGTGATGGAGCGTGGGGTTGTGTGTGTGCGTGCGGCAGGGGTGTGTGTGCGGGAAGCGGCGCGGCGGGGCTTGGAGTGGGCATGGCTTCCGCAGAGGGAACGTTGGCCAGAAGACTGTGTGCGCGCGCCAGGGAACTTGCGGCTGGGCACCAATGCGCATGCTCAGTTGTTTTGCCGTTTTGTGAGTGTGTTGTTGTGTTGTTTTTCATTTTGAGTAGATATTTTTGTACCTTATGGGTTGTGTTATGGGCATGGGAATTTTGGTTAAGTTTCGTTGGGGGGTTTGTGAGTTTTGTTGTTTTGCCATTTTGTGAGTGTGTTGTTGTGTTGTTTTTCATTTTGAGTAGATATGTTTGTACCTTGTGGATTGTGTTATGGGCATGGGAATTTTGTTTAGTTTCGTTGGGTTTTTTTTGAGTTTTGTTGTTTTGCCGTTTTGTGAGTGTGTTGTTGTGTTGTTTTTCATTTTGAGTAGATATGTTTGGACCTTGTGGGTTGTGTTATGGGCATGGGAATTTTGGTTAAGTTTCGTTGTGGGGTTGTGGAATTTTGCTGTCCGGTTGAACCAACCTAACAGATTTATATATATAGATAGCAATTCCAGCTTTATTGCAACAGAAAGCTGAAATACATTTAACCTTCACTGTATTAGAAGGTTCAATCTAAAATCCTTCAAAATCTACACTGAGCAGCCACAAAGAACTGAACATGTTTTCTTCTACCCTGTTTTTCTTCTTAAATGTCTAGGCAATCCATTTATTAGAATCAAGTGGCTGGAAAGCAAACTGGAAATAAATATAAGTTATTTGCAGTTTTCCAGCTAATTTAGTGATTAGCAAACACAGCATTTTTTGTCGCATCAGGAGCGACTGTAAGTTGCTTCTGGTGTGAGAGAATTGGCTGTCTGCAAGGAAGTTGCCCAGGGGACGCCCAGATGTTTTGATGTTTTTATCATCCTTGTGGGGGGCTTCTCTCATGTCTCCACATGAGGAGCTGGAGCTGACAGAGGAAGCCCAGCCTCGCTCTCTCCAGATTTGAACCTGCAATCTTCAGTCCTGCCGTCACAGGGATTTAACCCACTGTGCCACTGGGGGCTCCTAACACAGCAATTGATTCAGTATGTCATGCAGACAGTCAGCAGAGTTGGAAAAGGATGTCAACAAAGGCACGGACTAAAGTGATTCCTCAGAGTGATTTTATGAAACAGACTAGTTGTACCCGCCACGCGTTGCTGTGGCCAATCTTCCATCCTTCTTTCTCTCCTTCCTTCCCTCTTTCCTTCCTTTCCTCTTTTTCTTTATTTCTCTTCTTTCTTCCATCCCTACCTGTTTCTTTCCTCCCTTTCTTTGCTCTTTGGTTACATCCTTCCTTCCTTCCTTCTTTTCCTATCTTTCATTCCTTCTCTCCTTCCTTCCCTCTCTTTTTCCTTTCACTCTTTTATTTTCTTCTCTCCTTCCTTGCTTCTCTAACTTACTTTCTTTACTTCTTTCCCTCCCTCCTTCTCTCCTTCCTTCCTTCCTTCCTTCCTTCCTTCCTTCCTTCCTTCCTTCCCCCTTTCCCTCCTTCATTCCTTCCCTCTTTCCCCCAATCTCTCGTTACTTCTTGACTGTCCCTTCCATTTAATATTGTATTTATATCTTACATAGAAAGAAGAAAGGAAGAAGGAAGGAAGGAGGGACAGGAAGGAAGGAAAAAGAAAGGGAGAGGGGGAAAGAAGGGAAGGAAGGAAAACAAAGAAGGAGGGACAGGAAGGGAGGGAGGAGAAGGAAGGAAGGAGGAAGGAAGGAGGAAAGGGAAAGAAGAAGGAGGGAGGGGAGAGGAGGAAAGGAAGGAAAGGAAGAGAAGGAGGGGACAGGAAAGGAAGGGAAGGAGGGAAAGAAGAAGGAAGGAGAAGGAAAAAAGGAAAAGGAAGGAAAAGGGAGGAAAGAAGGGAAGGGTGTGAGGGAGAGAAGGAAGGTCCTTCACTCAAGCACCGTAAACCTTTCTCGCCTCCTCCTCCTCCTCTTCCCCTTCTTCTTTGCCTGGGGGCTCCGCTGCTGCCACTCATCAGCCCCATTCGTCTTCCAACAGGGAAAGGAGGAGGAGGAGGAGGAGGAGGAAACCGCCCTACTGACATAGCAGGGAAAGAGAAGGGGCTCCATGCAGCAAGCCTCCACCTCCACTCTTGTGTGTGTGTGTGTGTGTGTGTGTGTGTGTGGCCGTGCACGCATGCCTGGCTTTAACGGCCAGCTGTTTCCCTGTGAGGAGGAGGAGGGGATGTGGCCATGGGTCTCTTTGTGGACATGCAGTTTCTCCTTTGTGGACATGCAGTTTAGAAGTCCTTTCTGCTTTTTTTTCAGTGAAGGACATACATTGGGTTGTTAGGAGTATCGTGTCCAAATTTGGTGTCAATTGCCCCAGTGGTTTTTGACTTCTGTTAATCCCACAAACGAACATTACATTTTTATTTATATAGATTTATCTTCACTGATGCAACAATTGGAAAAAGACTAATAATTGAAGCAGTTAAAAGGTTTTTTTATATAAACTAAATTACATTAAGAAGCTTTCAAGTTGGCTGGTTATTTTTTTAAAAATTTTGCCATTTTACGGTTTTTTTTCTGAAATTTAGGGGCAATTTTACATCTTTAAGTCTATTTTTGTGTTTGACATATGACATCTTGGGTTATGAGTGGCAAATAGGCTAAACAGGTTGTGTATCCCTTAACCAGAACTCAGAAATGCTCCAAAATCCAAAACTGCTTACATGGGTAGCTGAGATAATGACAACGTTGCTTTCTGGTGGCTCAATGTACAAAAACTTTGTTTCATGCACAAAATTATTTAAAATGTTGCATATAAAATTACCTTCATGCTATGTGTATAAGGTAGAAATGAAAGATAAATGAATTTCGTATTTAGACTTGGGTCCCATCTCCATGATACCTCATTTTTTATATATGCAAATATTCCAAAATCCAAAACACTTCTGGTCCCAAGCATTTCAGATAAGGGATACTCAGCCTGTATATATAAACTGTAATAAAAGAATAGAATACATCTGTATACCTCAGCAGCCTTGATATGAAGCATTTGTCCATCTGCTATGATCCCCACATTAGACGAAACAGTGATCATATGCCCATTTTTATACCAGGTGATGACAGGAGGTGGAACAGCATTGGATTCACATTCTAAGGTCACTGGCATTCCAATTCTGACATTCACTACTGCAAGAGCTGTACCACCATGGTCCTTAATACTAGGGGGAACTTTTGGGGTAGAGGGAACATAATAAAAAATAGGTTTTTTTAATGACAGTAGGAGACAAAGCTACATTAAGAATGGTTACTTAGTAATATTGCAAAATTTTAAGAGTTGTCTTATTTATAGTTATAGAAACATACCATAAACAGTCAGGAAACTCCTTCTCCTGCTTTCACCCGCACTGTTTCTAGCTATGCAAACATATTCTCCAGCATCGGACAGACGTGCCCTAGGAATCTGTAGAGTGCGACCACCTGAAATGGTATAAAGATGATAAAATAGTTGAAACTGATCATTACATCACTGTTGCATTAATAAAGAATAGAAGGAGTAGAGACAGGTAATAAGTTTGAAAGAAATATGGTGGTGGCATCAGTTTTACCTCTGGGCTCAGATTTTTTGCAGTGCTTAACTCAAATGAAAAACCTTTTTTCTATTTTCATCAAAAGCTGCAAGTTTTTCATTATGATAAACACATTTTTTCAGAACATCTATATTATCTAAAATGATTATTGATCTTCACATATTGATAATTTCATGGCTATTATATCTGAATTAATAAACAAAAATATGAATGGGAGATTTGCTGTGCTCACAGGCATTGTGCATCTTGCTTCACATGGCACAGCAAATGAATAAGAAAGCCTTCAGTGAACAATAATTTCCCATTTTCTCCAAACCAGGATGTTATGATTAACAACTTTAGAATAAAATAGGCTAATAAACAAACTTCAAACTATGATTCACTATCTTGGCTTGTTGTAAAAATGCTAACCATAGTTTGCTTGTGCAGACTAAATAAGAAACTATTACTAATGGAGGTCTGTATCTGGAGCAGATCCACTGAATCAATGAGAATTATGTCAAGGCATTCAGTCACGTATTCAACAGATCTACTGACAAAATGTTGGAGGTAAGTCCAAAGATGCCTTGCTTGTTTTCTAATCATATGAAAGAAGAAGAAAATAAAATATTTGATTTCTTTTGGCTTTTAAAATCATGTTTGTTCAAACATTTCATTAACACGAATTGATCTTGTTTATGTTCACTGAGTTAAAACATTCTTCTTTGCCCCTTTCCCTTGATATCTTCAAACAAGAAGTCATGAATATAGTGGAATGTAAGTATTCAGCTATTTCATGTTCACATACAAACAAACCAGAGTTTTGTATAAATGTGTTTTGATGTAGGAGAAATGCATGATTTTTCTGTGACTACTATTTGTGTGTATGTTCATGTCTCATGCTTTCATTCTGCCTAAAAATTATTGGGTGTGTGTGTGTGTGTGTGTAAAAAAGCCCCAATTTTCTCACAAAAATCATTTTCTGAATTCCCCCCCCCCCCCCGATTACATAAAAAGAACATTTTGAGCTTTACTCAACCTAGAGGGATATAACCTAAGATTTGGCTGGCATGAGTATTTATGGTATGAAAAATATAGAATAAAGATTCCACAGATGATTTGGAAAAGATATAAGGCTATAAGGCAGGGATAGAACACACCCCCCCCCCCATTATGGGTATACCTTCAGGAAGAAATGGGAAATCCAATTTTAACAAAGAAAGGAGAATCTATAACTTAATTTTAAAAAAGAGCACTGGAAACTAAAAGGAAGAGAACAGTTAGGGATAAATGACTGGTTTTGCTAACACCAATGATATGATATTTTTTTAAAAAATAATAAAATAGGATTCACTAAAAGAAAATTGGAATTGGAGAATATTTTAGAGAAGAGAAATAAAGGATTACTTTCCAGATTCTAAAGGTACCGTTTATTCCGACTGGGCGTATAAGAGGTGTACAGAAGTGTTTATAATAATATGCTTATAACTGTATTTATGTTTGCATTGGCTGCCCTTAGGCTGGAGCGGCCTAGCTGTTAGGAATGTGTTACCATGGAAACGAGGCAGAAGAGGAGGTGGGA